TTTTTAAATAATAAAAATAATTATAAATTATAAAATTAAAACTATTTATATCATATTTTATCTATTTATAACTATTAAAAAAATAATCTTATATTATTATTATTATTATAGTTATTATTATTTTAATTAAGAGAAATGTCATTTATTATGTAATATTATCTAATTAATAGATCTACCTATCTATATATAATATAATAATATAAAATAACATAATATAATAATTAATATAATGTAAATTTGTATGAATTAGTATAATATATATTTGTATTAGTTAAAATTATGTAATTAGATATGTAATAAAAAGCATATGATATATTATAATTTTGTATTACATGATAGTTAATATATACTATATATATACTATGTATGTATGTAAAAAATACATGATAAATAGCATCCTTCTAAAGATATTATCTTAATTAATTATAACTTGTAATAGCTAATTAGAGAATTATAATTAATTATAATAACTAATCAGAAAATTATAATTAAGTTGTAATATTATTTTTAATCTTGATTATTATTATTTTTTCTTGAACTAGCATATTTACTAATAATATGACTAATATCTTTATAGTTATAATAAGTAATAGAATTTCTTAATTAATATTATTAAAATTATTATTATTGTTAAAATTATTATTATTATTATATTATTTTTTCTAATTCTACATTTACTTGTAATATATCTAAATTTTTTATAATTATTATATTTAATAGAATTATTTTTATTATTAAAATAATTATTAAATTGATTAAAAATTATTAGTTTTTTTAACTTTAAAGTAATACTTTTAATTTATTTTGTTAATTTGCTAATTCTAATATTTATAAATGATATTAGTAAGAAAGATAAATCATTTGATATGATATTATATTATTAAAAATTAGAATTATAAGCTATTACTATATTAATTATCTCTTCTAATATTATAGAATAAGTTAGATTTATAAAGAATTAAATTTTTAATTTAAGTCTATTTATAAAATAAGATACATATAAATAAACTGGATAACTATTGATTAGATCTATTTTTTTGATTAATTCTCTAATAGCTGGAGCATATTATTTTATACTTTTATCAAGTAACTATTTTCTTTATTTTAATTATTATTATTATTCATATAATTAGTTATGATTTTTAAAATATTTTTTAAATTAATATATGAATAATACTTCTTTTTAATTTTAATTAATATTATTAATATATTTCTAACTTACTAACTATTTTGAATTATATAATTTTTTATTAGTAAATCAAATAGTAGCAGATTCTTTTGGATAAGCTTTTACTATTTAAATTTTTTTATATTACTAATACTATTAATAATATAAGTATTTTTAAAATCTTGAAGCTAATTAATTAGCTCTTGAGTATTATTATAGAATTTTATAATTTTAATATAATTAGCTTCTTTTGATCTTTCTAGAACTATAATAAGTATATTTATTAAATCTTTAAATTTATTATCAGTAATTAATAAAGCTTTATTTTTGGTTATTTCTTCTAATTCTAGTAATATTAATAAAGTAAGTATTAAAATAATAGATATATTAAATAATTAATTGAGTTTTTAAATATTTATTAAATGATAATTATATTAATATTTATTCAAAAGTATCTGAATTATATTATCTAAATTATTATAAAGTATTTAATAATTTTTTGTTGAGTTTTGACTAACTCAGATTAGATATCTCTATAAGTAAGTTTTTAAATTATTATTTTTTTTATTTTTATTTTGTTAAATATTTATTTCTTTTATCTTTGAATTTAAATATTTCTTATTATATTTAATAAAGATAAGTTTGTACTTATTTTGATAATAATTCAGTTTTATTTTCAATTAGAATTACAAATTCTTGTCTTGATTTAAGTTTTACTATATATTACTTTTTAATAAAAATAAAAGCATTTTTTCTAAATAACTTATCAATTTAAATTATTATAATTTTCAAGATATAATTAAGCAAATAGTTAACTGAAGAGTCTTTTTTTTTCTACTTTAATTTTTTTAGTTGAATTTACTTTGATATATTGTAAAATTATTTTTTCTATTATCTTTATTTTCTACTAATTTCAAATTAAAATCACAAAGAATTTTTTATCTCATAATTTGAGTTGAATTAGATAATTACTTTGAAATTTTTTTTCATAAAGAAGATATTAAAAAGTTATTATCTTTTTGATATGAATATTAACTTGAGAGATGAGTATAATTCTTAAACTATTAAAAATATATATTTTTGCTAAGAATTATAATATAAAAGAATTTTTTATAGTATATTAATAAGAATATACTTTTCTACTAGAATTTATCAAAAATAATTTCTAAAAATAGATAATAGTATGATTAGCTAAAATATAATTCAATTTTAAAATATAATTCAAAGATAGATATAATAATTAATTTATTAATAAGATAAGAAAATAGATCTTAATTAAGATCTATTTTATAAGAGATATTTCTTAGAATTCTTTTTAATTATAATTTACTTAAAATATAAATTAAGAATTAAACTCATAGAACTAAATTTAAATTAAATAATAAATCACAAATTATCTAACTTAACTTTTCTAACTAATTAACTATTTTTTTTTTACTAGTTAAGATATATTATTTTTATATATTTTAAAGATTATATAAATAATACTTTTGTTATGATACTTATACTACTTTTGCTATAATCTAAATATTTAGCTAGTATCATAATGTTAATTTTGTTATGATAGTATTGTTAATTTTGCTATGATAGTTTTGCTAATTTTGCTATAATAATTTTGCCATAATCATTATGTTTGTGAAAACTATCTAAAAATATTTATAAATAATATTCTTTAAAGCTAATGTTCAATAAGATATAAGTAATTAATTATCTAATCATATTGTGATATGAAGTGACTAATGATAAATATTTTACTAAAAGTTCATATCACAATAGTACACATAATGATCATCTATATGATAATATATTAAATCTAATTAATTAAATATTTAGATAATTATCTGTATATCCAGTATGAAGATGATCTTTAAATAAAACTAATATAGAAGCTAATCTATTATACAGATAATATAAATAAAGATCTAATCTAAAAGGAGATAATTTAATCAAATTATTATATGATAATTATAAATAGTAATTTTAAGTCAGATACAATTGTTTTCTTACAGTTTTTACAAAATTGTAAGACAAGGCTTTTCCTGAAGTTTATGTCTAGCACCTATCGTAAATTTTTTGACATCCAGAAGATCGATAATCTCATTGATAAGCATGCTTGCATCCTCGTGAATTAAAATCATTATTGTGACAGCAATTCCAGTATCCAGATACGAACTCGGATTTGCTCCTCCAAGAGAAAAGACACGAACTATCCAAGCTTGAGGACTATTGTCAAACACTTGTTTCGTTGTAAATCCAACATAGTAGTTATGCTTATAAACATGAAGAGATAGATATATATCTATAATATTTCCCTTATGAACACACTCTGTATCTGGGTGAAATGATTCCGTTTCCAATGACATTTAGAAAATGTTAACCTTAGATCAGTTTCTTAGAACATTTGAATTTTCTAATGTTGAGACGTGTTTGGACATTTAAGATGCCCTTCATTAACAATTCATCGATTTTTGAAAGCAAATCATTTTTAGTGTTATGTTCTTTTTGGGATATTTCTCTGGCATGATCACGAGGACCATTATTAATTGTATCCCCTTTAGTGACGATGATGGTATTATCCCACACATTTCCACTATAGTATTTTGCCAAAGATTCTATAAATCTTGCTTGAAGTTTGTATGAGGTTTTCGTTCTAACGTCGGGTACCACAAACCACAAGATCGTTGTTATATTCTGAATTTTAGCTTCCAACATCTTAAGAAAAATCGAAAACACAGTTTCCTCATCGCTCTTATCTTCATCAGAATCATCGAACCCAGGTGTATCAATGTGGAAACTCCTTTAATATTATGAATTGTAATTGTACATTTTGCGCCCCAAAGATGGTTGCTGTGAGGCTTTTCCATTCCCGTATTGCCAACTGCAAGATACATCGCTGTGATAACTAATACATGCGCATCGAATATAAATATAAATCCTTTTTTAAATGTTTTAAAATAAAATGATACTTACGTTTGCATCAAACATTTTGTCGTAACTTTCAATAAGAGATTGGGTCTTAGTGAGAAATCAAAGTGTTGTCAAATATACCAGAAGTTATATGATCGTTAGATTTTCGAACATAATCATTCTATCACTAATTAATTCAATAAATGAAAGCAATTAAATTTTATCTCTTCTAGTCATTATTTGTGTGAAACAGCACCTCATCAATCTTTATTATGAAATATATACTGGTTCAACTAGACAAGTTTATAAATTTACTCCCAATCAAAAACAATATTCTTTTAATATAAAATCCCAATATTAGAACTTAATAATGAATAGTGACTTCTTGTTTCAAACATTTGGATCATGTACATTTAAAAGTCACTTTACCGCATCCATTTTAGATGATTTTTAGCTATACATGAAAGTTTATTTATTAAGAAAATCGTGCATATTTTGTGTTCGGCAAGAAAAAAGAATGTTCTCCCAAACATTTACAATTCAACAAATTTACAGTTATATACTTAACAGAATTTGTGTGTGTATAAGAGAATTTTTTCATTTTTAACTATTATGAAACGCTATTAATTAATGCGACATAATGACTATTTTATTTATTGGCAATTCAAATAAATACAGTCTCAGAAAAGTATTATTTTTCTAACAAAAAATTTAGAAAATCTTATCACAAAAATCTTCAACTAAAATATCCAAAAACTCTATATGACGAATTCTAGTTATGCCATCGTCTCTATAGTAACTCCACTTGGTTGTCTAATAAATTATCTCATTAATATTATTAATAATCCCAAGAAATATTATCCTTATGGACATCTTTGCCTAGCTGCACACTCGAAATGTTGTTTCTTTCTACGAATTCTTTGAGGTTCATGTAAATGACGTTACTTTATCTAATATTCTCTATAATTATGTTGCGTGACAATTTCTTTCTTCTTTGATCTTTGAGATGGTTCGGTGTACTGGAACAATCTCTGAGTCACAATTTCATAGCGGATTCTTTTACGGTAAATTTTCATTTGCACATCGTAAAAATCAAACGCTCGTTGTTCAGATAAATTGTCAGCAAATAGCATAGTATATACACCACAGTCAAAGTGATTTGGCTGTTGGGGTGCATTTTCCGCGAAATTCTACATCCCATTCCTGTCATCGGGCAATCCTTTTAATGCTCGATAAGCTTGAACGAATCGAAGCAAATTCTATGAATTTAATTAAAGTGAATTTATGTTTTGTAAGTTACTCAAAATTTTTAAAATGACATACCTTTCCGATTCTGTTTCTATTCGCGGAATTAAACCTAACTCCCGAATAATATACCATAAATAACAGCCAATACCCAGTGATTCGCACTTCCCAGATGAACAAGGACCAACAATTGCTTGAGTGCATATAAATCTGTGACCTATTGGAATATGGATCTGATATCAAATAAAAGAATATAACAAATTTAAATATAATTATGCTTACGTCGGCTCTGGATAACCATTTCAACACCTTGTTAAAGTTGTCATTTGCCACACCCCTTTCTATAGGTAAGTGGTTGTCACCTCATCTTGACTTCATGTTGCGTAATAACTCTCCTCGCTTTTCTTTCTTCCTATAACCTGATAATAAATTGATTAGTCGATTAACGTTAAGAATGTCAATCTTCTGAGAACGATGCAAATCTTCACTTACATCATCTGGTGTGCTGAGAGAATTCGCCATTATTGTCACGTTTCCCAATTTTGAAACCGACTCGTGTTGTTTGTTTTTGTTGTCAATAATACCATTCATCTCGGATTCTTCATTCTCCGTTAATTGCTGGTTTTATTTTTATGTTAGAAAAAGTGAACAAAAAAAGCGAATTCCAATAATTTGATGAATATTAATAAAAATCAAGCATATATCCTCTCTATTACCCTGGCTCTAGTGAATCGTCTAGCATAATTCGATTGTTTTTTCTGGCTCTAGTTTCAGATCCTTTACCTCGTCTACGTCCTCTGCAGGATATATATTAAAGGAATGAAATAAGATTAATATTAATCAGAGCTATAATAGAAACATGTGAATCGAAAATTTGCGCTCCGGTGATTCTGAGATTGTTGTGTCGAGCTGCAGTAAATAATAAAATAAAAAATTTACAATGGTAGAAAATTACAAAATGAATACTTACGTTCTTCGCTTCTACATTTACGAGTATTGTACACGGGACATGTCCGCCCTATATAAAACGGTGGGACATTATCCAAAATGTCCACGTCCACATATGCCCTAACCAATCGGTTATTAAAATTTTCCATGTCCGTACTTATGTACATGTACGTAAAAAGTAACAATGAATATACCACGCCCATGCGCAAAATTGCCACAGAATTGCGGGGATCCTTAATATTAACTAACATAACCAGCAGAGATACTTACGTTGGGGAGGCCCGGTTTAGTAAGGAAGATAAAGATGAACTTATGGTCTCCTACACCATGATAAATATTATCGGATTACGGCAAATTTTTCTTGCAGCTTGCTTGGCACTCATAAATTCAAATAAAAATTACTATTTTTACCTTTGTCAACTGAGTACGATAGGTGCATGTATTATTAAATTTCGCCTGAAAAAATAAAAAACTTTAGTATTAGTGTTAACCATAACAAAACGGGACATATATTTGTCTGTTGCAACTGTTGTATCCATTAATAGAAATTTGGATTATACATGTACATGTAGCATCCGAATTTTTTATAAACTACATCGAACACAATAAATTTTTTTATTGCATTACACAAATCGAGATTTTAGATTTTAAGTTAAAAAAATGAAGCAAAGGAGAATACATTTTCAACTAAATGCGAATGCATACTACATCTATTAAACTTTGGTATCGCTTTTAAAATATTATTCATGAAATTCTAATTAAAAATAAATTAAATAAATTGAATAATAAATATAAGAATTGATTGAAATAATCATAAATCATAGAATTTCGAATCAAATTATACAATGCTAAATTAAAAATTTTGAAAAAACACAAAT